TTCTTCGATATTCCATAAAAGGACAAGCATACAGAGTATATAATCTGAAATAAAAAAGGATTGAAGGGTCAGTATTTGTTAAATTTGATGATTCTGGTTGCTCCTAGTTGGTGAATGCAGAGAATATTGAGTTTCTGTTCCCCATCTTGAATGAAGAAGTTAAAAGAGTGCAAGGTAATGCTTCATCAGTAAAAATAAAGGAAGATGTAATCATGTCAACTGATAAAGACATCCTAACAGAAGAAAGAAATGCTCCTGCACACATACAAAAAAGGCATCTTGCAGCTCAAATCATTGGTAACCTAAATGATGGAATACACACTCGAGGAAAGGACTATCCAGGTCAGTATGAATTTGTTTCCCTACTAGAAATGAAAAATTACGAGGACGCATTATGTGATGATGAATGGATATGTGCTATGCAAGAAGAACTTGTGCAATTTGCTAAATTACATGTTTGTAAACTAGTATCTAGTAAACTAGTACCTAGACCAATTGACAGAATGATAATAGGAAAAAAATGAGTTTTAGAAATAAAACTAACGAAAATGGACAAGTGACTAAAATTATGGCCAGACTTGTAGCTCATGGATATTCACAAGAAGAAGGAATCGATTTTGATGAAACCTTTGCTCCAGCTCAAATTGAATCTTTCAGACTTTTATGTGCTTATGCATGTTACATGAAAATTCCCTTCTTAAATGGATATGAAAAGTGACTTCATAAATGGTGGAATTAAAGAAGAAGTTTAGGTGAGCCAACCACCAGGATTCATTGATCATAAATATTCTAACCATGTTTACAAATTATCAAAGGGATTGTATGATTTAAAACAAACACCTAGGGCATGGTTTGAAAAATTATCCACTTTTTTTAAAAATGAAGGTTTCTGTCAAGGAAATGTGGACAAGACCCTGTTTATTAAAAAGGAGAATTCAGATACCTTAATTGTGCAAATTTATGTTGACTATATTGTCTTTGGATCAATTAATCCTTTTATGTGTACCAAATTCTGTGAGTCTATGAAATCAGAATTTGAAATGAGTATGATGTAGGGGTGGGTAACGGGAAACGGGTATTTGGTATACCCATACCCGTCCCGTTTTTTTGAGGGTTACGGGTACCCAAATACCAGTAATTTTTTTACGGGATGGGACTTGAGATCAAACATTTTTACAATGGGTACCCGCGGGTCACTAGTTAATACCCGTTTGGGTATTACGGGTACCCATACTACCCGCCGTTTTAATTAAATGATAGCTAATTAATTAAGGAATTGTGGTTTAAGGATTATTCTCTTTTGTTGAACATAGTCGTGATAGAGATATATAATTAATATGTTAATTATTCTCTTTCGGCTGCTTATTTGTAGCTACGTAGTTAAGCACATGTCTTTTGAGATAGTTATGTGGTTTAGCAGTAGTTGTTAGTCTCTCAGTGATTTATATAATCACAAAACTAATAATACAACAGTAAGACATTATCTTCTATACAAGCAGAACTAATGGCTTTTCATCATTCTCACACGAGGACTCATTCTCACGTTATAACCTTTCCATTTCGTTGCACATTCACAGCGCCACCCACTCTAAAGCAATCCTCCTGGTACATACAAATTCTCGATCTTATGATTTGTGATTAATATGGGTACTTGCGAGTATCCGTTATCCGTCCCATATGAGTAATGGGTACCCGTTAACCCGTGCGGGTTTAGGACATGAGATAGAGTTTCCTCTCCAAATGGGAATGGGTACCTGTTTCAAACGGGATGGGTACCCATTCCCGTCCCGTTGCCCACCCCTAGCATGATGGGTGAACTGTCCCACTTTCTAGGATTACAAATCAAGCAAACTAATTCAGGGATGTTTATAAGTCAAACTAGCAACATTAAATCCATGATTAAGAAATTCATATCATTTAGTAAATGTCATCTTAACACCTATGACTACTAATATGAAATTAGATAAGGATGAAGCTGGCTTAGCCTTCTGCGAAAAGAAGTATAGAGAAATGATTGGATCACTCCTCTATTTAACAACTAGTCGACCATATATTCAATACAGTGTTGGCTTGTGTCCAAGGTTTCAGTCTAAACCTAAAGAGAGTCATTTCAAAGCAGTTAAATGCATATTTAGATATCTTATGTGAACTATCGAGGTAGGACTGTGGTATCCAGCTACTCATTCATTTGAACTAGTTGGATACAGTGACTCAGATTTTGTGGGAAGTCTGGTTGATAGAAAAAGCACCTCGGGAACCATTCAATTCCTATGACCAACTCTTGTCTCCTGGTTTAGCAAAAAACAAGGAGCAGTTGCACTCTCCACAGCTGAGGCTGAATAAATGGTAGCTGGAAGTTACTGTGCTCAACTCATATGGATGAAAGCACAATTATCAGATTATGGTTTCAAACTAAAAAATATTCTTATTTGTTGTGATAATACAAGTATAATTTGTATGACGAAAAATCGAGTTCAACACTCTAGGACTAAACACATAGAAATAAAATACCACTTCATAAGAGACTTGATCAAAGCAAGACATGTTTGCTTGCAATTTGTGTCTACTGAATTCTGATTGGCTGAATTATTCACAAAACCTCTCCCTAGTGAACGTTTTCTTCAGCTGCACCGAACTAGGGTTAAAGCCTTCCATTCAGATTGAGAATCTAGAAAGATAAAACCCCTATTGGGTCTTTTTGCTCTGAGTGTTTTGCTTATCTTGGTTTGTGAAATAATGTCTCTTTACGGCTCATGCTTGCCTATTTCCAAGAAAAAATATATATGAATGCTATAGTTTCATCATTATAACTTTATCTTACGGGAAACTCTTCCTATCCTCCCTCCTCTCTTAATCTCTCATCTATTTAGACTCTATTCCCTTCTCCATTCTTCCTCACTAACTTCAAACCCTAAAAACCCATTTCAGCAAAACATCAGTTTCAACATGAGTAAACACCTGCCTCGACCATTTTGATTTGATGGCCTGGTTCATACATATCCAGGCTATAGGTTTCATGAGCCAGTGGTGGTGAACCATTAGGGTTAAATGCATCACTTGCCACTTAAGTATTGTGTATGTTGCAAACTAACCACCTAACTTGATTTTGTTGCAATTAAACCATATAAGTAGAATTACGATTGCACCGTCACAATTTCCATCCAAAGAGTTAACGGAAAGTACCAAACATGAGTTATTTGTGCTACTATTTTGGGGGGGAAATTCCTAGAATCATTTTGCACAAATACCAAAATTATGTGCCAATTTTTATAATTACCCTTCCCATCTCCCCTTTCTTCTCCCTCTTCATATGCTCACCAGTCACCACTACCCTTTTCTATTCAGGAAGGACGAAACTGGAAGAGATTTAAAATTCTAAACTGCATTTTCCCCCTCCACTGAGCTTCAAATTGTGTTTAAAATACCGCCAACAGAACTGAAATAGTGGTCTTAACCCACCACTCTAGTTCGCGAAATTTCGATTACTGCTCGAATCCATGAGAGCCATACACAAATACTATGTTTTCCTCTCTCTCTGATATCTTATTCCTCTCAGTATGTGAATGAGATATTGGGTTAACATATCAACGGCGTCTTTGGAATAACTACCAATTCCATGAATTGAACAAATAATCTGAAGAAATGGGCATCACTTTCAGGTGAGACTACCATTATTGAGCTTAAATTGTAAGCAAAGCAGAGATAATATCTTGAAGAAGGAAGCAAGCTATAGAGCCATCCCCAGGCGAAAACTTCAACACATTTTAATCCATTTATGGGCAAAAAAAACTTGGTCGAATGTTAATTCAATCCAATCAAAAGCCCATAATTTGAGCTGCTGAATCTGACTCCTTTCTAGCAAGAGTAAATTAAGTAAATTAAGAAGACAAGGTTAGATTTGAGCTCCAAAAATCTCTGTGAATGAGATGTAAAAGGAAGAAAGAAGGTAGGAATCTGGAGAGCTTAGCTGGTGTAGAAGGAGAGAGATCAATATGGAGTCTTAAGAGGAAAGGTTTGTCATATTTGGGTTGGCTCTGTTAGCATAGGAGGGTGGTGACGGGTGAGGTGATGCAGGGAGGAGAAGTAGGAGAGTGGAAGGAAGGCATACTTATTAAAAAATGGTCATATAAGTTTGACAATTATGCAAAATAGTTATATAGATTTAACTTTTTTCAAAATGGTAGTACAATAGTTTCTTTTTGGTAGCCTCTGTTAAATTTGTAGATGGAAATTGTGATGTTGCAACCATAATTCTATTAAAATAGTTTAGTTGCAACAATAATTCAACTTATGTGATGTAGTTGCAACAAAAACAAGTTAAGTGGTTAGTATGCAACATATATGGTACTTAAGTGGTAAGTGGTGCATTTAACCCCGGGTTGTGTAGTCCCACTATATTTCTCTTGTTTTTGTTTGTTATCGCTGTTGGAATTCATGTATTAGAGATCCTCAAAACCACTTTGGTACTGGCGGTCTTTGTGGTGGGTTGTGATTTGAATAAAGCATGGGAAGGGTCGAATGGATATTTTGTGCTAATTAATTGTTGAGATTTATATTGTTAACATTTAATGAGGTATCACTATTTATTCCCTGCTTTGCATACACCTCTAGTGCGGGGCTGGCTATTTGGTCCGGAATCAGATGTAAAACCGGAAACCATACCATATACCTCGGATCATTTAAGACCGGGATCGAATATATAACAATTCAATCCCGTCTTTGGTCTCAGAATTCGCAAAATATCCGAACCAATCCAGTTTGGGTTTAAACCGTGTCAAAACCGGAAGACCGGATAAATAAAAAATAGGTCACTGATTGAGCAATGAGCCTAGCCCACAATCCAGCCCAGCCCACAACCTAGCCGCCAATTCCCATTTACCCTAAGCCCCTAAAACCTCCTGAATTTCTATTCGTCGCCCTAAATTTTTGAATTTATCGCCCTAAACTTACATACATGGACGAGTTTAACCCTAAATTGACCCACCCTGCCGTCCCTTATCATGTTCTCCCCAAATACTCAAAAACAAAACTCTCAACCCCTCACCCAGACCCGCCGCCACCCTAATCTGCCGCCATCCAGACCCGTCGCCGCCAGCATCACCCTCACCCAGAGCTCTGGCGTCAGCCAGACCCGCCGCCATCCAGAAGGAGAGGAATTCGCCGCCAGACCCGGCGCCACCCTAATCTGCCGCCGTCAACCAGACCCTCGCCCAGACTCGCCTCCACCACCAAGACCTGTCGCCGCCACCCAGACCCGTCGCCGCCAGCATCTTCGCCCAAGCCCAGATCCGCCGCACTGTCGCCGAGGATGAAGGAGAATCCTCCAAATCATCGTCCGCCTCTAGCCCTCTGCTTCTGCTCAGACCCGCCAGAGGTAAATCTCTCTCTCCCTCTCTTCTCGTTTGGTTGAGTTGCGCCGTCGCCGTGGGTTGAAAACCCGTCACCAGTGGCTAGAAGCAGGTAGGGCGTTCGATTTGGGTCGGGGTAGACGCACGCAGGGCACCCGCGCGGATCCGGCGGAGCCAGGTAGCCCACCTGCCCCGGCCCTGGTCTGATCCGGTTTGACCCGCCCTGACCCTAGTCCGACCCGTTTTGATTTTTTTTTCAATTAAAATGAAAATGTTAATAATTAGAATGTTCATTTTAATTAATAATATATAAATTTGAATGGTTAATTATAATCAGTATATGACCTTTTATAATGGGAAGGAAGAAAAGAATCTGGGATTTTGTTGCGGTTGTTGTGCGATGAGAGGATGTTAATTAGCATTTGACAATATAAGTAGTGTTTGAATTGACAAAGTTGTGGATTGTTAATAATGATTATAAATAGTTAATGAATATAGGATTGTTAATTGCAATACTAAGAAGAATTAATTTTATTTTCTTGATAGTTGGTAAAAATAAGCGAAAGAAAGGGTAACAATTAGTATATGAATTGTGATGATTAATATAATTAGTATTTGACAATATAATTAGTATTGGAATTCATAAATTTTATGGTTGTTAATAATTATTATGTATAGTTAAAAAATGTATGGTTGTCAATTACAATTCTGAAAAGAAATAATTTTATTTTCTTGATAGCAGGCAACAATGAGCGAAAGAAGGGGCAAGGAAAAGTCGAGGGTTCTCGGACGCAACGTTACAGTATCTGAGTGGAAAAAACGTCAGGAGAAGTCAGATAGACTTTGTGAGGAGGAGCGTCAGGAGAAGCTTTCGCGTCGTCAAGCTGTAGTGGATCCTCCCCCTCATAGCCATGTTTCCCAGCTGATACCAGGCATCAACACATATGATGACATGGTGGAGGTTGACGATAGCAGTGATGATGAGTGTGATGTGGAGGGTGATGATGAGTTGCCTTTTCATGAGTTGCTTTTCGACGGTCATCCTGGAGGTGGCTCCAGTGGTCCGGGGCGGGTTCGAGTGATCATGTGTCTACTGGCTCGACCCATGGCAGTACTCTTGTTGGGCCGCTACGCGGCAAGGATGGGCGTTTTGCTTCGTCCTCTAATGGGAGCAGGCCTTCACGGAAGAAGAAGAAGAAGAAACCGAGGGACGAGACGTGGCTGCTTACAAAAGAAGCTCCAGGAGGCCCTAGGGATATCAGTTTGATCCCTAGTTTTGGTGGTCACATAGCTCATTGCTTGTGAACATCGGGTTTGGATTCTCGGGTGATGTCTGTTTTCCAGTTCTACGCTCGACAGGGTGGAGTGGATCGACTGAGGACGTACGAGTTTGGGACCCCAAGTGCACAGGGCTTGGTTACAGCATCAGGTTTGGACCACTTGAGTAGATGCAAGATGCATAATGTGGACTACCCACTTTTGGAGGCGTTCATTGAGAGGTGGCAGCTGGATACCAACACATTTCACATGCCGTTTGGGGAGATGACGATCACTCTGCACGATGTTGCGTTCCTCCTCAAGATTCGAGTGGATGGTGAGCAACTTGTTGCACCGGCTAAGGGTGATCCGTCGTTCGTGAGTGGGATTGTTGATCTTCTTGGTATTTCTGATAAGAATGAAGTGGCATTGCCATTGTGTGGCCTCCGTTGGTACGAGGGTGGTGGGATGTTGGTAGATGAGGCCATGGCACGTGTAAGTGCTTCGAGGGATGAGAGTGGAGAGGCACGGTGTTACTTACTGTGTTCGATCCGGTCCACGCTTTTTGTGGACAAGAGTTCTGATCATGTTCGTGGATGGTTATACTCTTACTTCATAGATTTGGCGATGGTTGGTAAGTATGCATGGGGTGCTGGTGCGCTTGCTTGGATGTATAGGCAGCTTGGGAGATCTAGTCTAGCAGGTTCTGGGGGATTTTCTGGGTGTTTGACTTTGCTACAGGCTTGGATTTACAAGTATTTTCCATCGCTGCGCATCAACAGACGTGCACCGGAGCCCATGACAGAGGGAGGCCCGTTTGCTAGGAGGTGGGAGGGTTCTATTAGTGGAGGGGATTTACAGCGAAGGTTGGATCATTATCGTTGGCTGTTGGACGGATTTACAGCGGCCCACGTGGATTGGCTTCCTTTAGGTCCTAACCCTGGTCGTGCAGAGCCTAGATCTTTGTATCGAGGTGTGATACGTGTCTACAATGTTGCTGAGACATACGATCCCTCACGTGTCCTCCGTCAGTTTGGCTACAGACAGGTGATTCCTTATCCTGTTATTCTACCATGTGATGTCAGTCGACCTGTTGTTGGGACCTATAAGGTCATCTTTGGAGCAGGGATTGATCAGCTTTGGGGGACAATGTTTAATCATTCTCTTCATCTTCAGTGGGTGGATAATGTCCTCCAAGGATGGCATACAATTCATGCTCCTGTTGGTATAACTCATCCCAATGCGGAATTGTGCCCATATTTTGAAAATGAGTCCATTGTGAACTAAAATATGGCATTGGTGTCACCCCATCGACATTGTCGAGAACTAGTCAGACCTAATGAGCCCTAGTAAAGACCATTGGCAGAACATAACTGGGATGAGTGAACCCTGGCGGCGCCATCATAGGTAAGGCGGTGTACCCATACGTGCGTTCTCGCTCCCCCTGCACTCCATATACGACAATTGCCCAGTTGTACATGGTTGCGTATGCCAACAAATCCACCTCCTCAAATCAATACTCTCCGTCTCACCTCCCAGCGGTCTGGCAATTCAACCTGTGAAGTACTTGCTCCAACGTTCCATCTCTAGATTTGTAAGCTTCCTTGTATATATCCCACTGATTTTGTACTTCTATGATAAGATCTTGTCTCATTTGCATGTAGTGTCCCTCTTCTCCATGAATCGCATGTGACATGGCCCGAAAACCACAATGTCCATCTGGTTCTGGGTCAAACCAACCTCTAACAAGAGGATGCATGCTAGGTGGGACCCAACGGAGGTAAGGACAAACATTTCTCTCACTATGAACTTGCATATCTTGACTTTTCCGCAAACCGGCAGCATATTGCAGAAAATAATTAATATTACGCACAAAACAAGAAATATTACTATGAAAACATATTCCGGTTTTGTGGTGTTCTAGCTCCTCGATGTCCTCGGACTCTGATTTTTTCTGCTCGTTTGTGCCGACCTTGCCCTCTCATGCTCAAACCAGGAAGGATCTCGAGTGTTGCTCCTCCTAGGTGGTCGTCCCTTTGGAGCCTCTAACTCCTTAGGCTCTTGTAGGCCTTCAACTTGTGGAAGAATATGAGGGCGTAGTACTTGAGTTGCCTTTCGGATAGCAGTTGGCCCTTGCTTGTACACATCTTGTACCATGGCTGTAAAAATGTCACGCTCAATGGCATCGTGATCTTCCCATTCTGCAAGATCGAGAGGACTCTCATACACCAAAGATGACCAGAATGGATGTAAGTGGTTGTGGTGCAACTCCACGCCAGCAGCACTCAATTCATCGATCTTACATTTACATGGTAGGCCATGTGTTTCAGGTATCCGACATCCACATCCCTGAACAATTTTCCTCTTTCGTTCTTCCATCAGTAACTCAACTGCCCACAAGCTCACTATAGTATTTAGGTTAACATATGGCGGTCCATAGGCTAATGCAAACACCTATTCCAAAATCATGAATTTCTAATAAAAATCAAATTGAGGATATAGGGAAATGCCAAATTAAATAAGCAAAAACGAGAATACCTTGGAAAGTGAATCCTCCAAGTCCTTCCTCAATTCAATCACTCTTCCGTTGATAGATGTGTGAAACCTGAGGAAGAGTGTATCGATCTTGTGGGTCGAAGTGGCAAGCCATTTCTTCAAGGAGGAATGCATCGACTCTACCCTATTTTTGCTCGTGTTACCGATATGGAAGATGTGATTGGTGTAGCAATTTGCCCACCTTTCCCTGCATGGCAACCACTCACCTCTCAAGTAGTCCATTAACTTGTTGTTTGAACTCCAATGACTATTTTGCAACTCTAGCCAACGACGTTGGAATTCTGCCTCAGTATTAGCTCGCAAGACTCTCTCCCATAGACTTCCTACAAATAACTCGGCAGAATCACGACCAATCCCCAACTGCATCATTTTGGCTTCAATGTTCTTTTTCATGTGCCACACACATAGTAAATGAGCTGAAGATGGAAAGATCTATTGCAAAGATACACCCAATCCTCCCGCCTTGTCTGTGACTAACGCAACCGGGGTTCGATCACCAAGCACAATCTTCAATTGCATCAAAACCCAAGCATATGTCTCCTTCGTCTCATCTGAAATCAATATGAACCCAATGCTGAAGTTCTTCTTCACCGGACTAACACCAATCAACTGAACCAGTGGCTGCTTATACTTGTTAGTCTTGTAGGTCGAGTCTAACAAAACAACAAAATACCATGCCAACAACATCCGAATCGACTCAGGATGGCATAGGAAGAGTCTAGTAACACGACGCTGATCATCAAATTCACAATCAATAAAGTAGCCAAGACGTTGAGCTTCTATCAATGTCCACCGCATAGGTTTCAACCCACCCAATCTCTCATGCATAATTTTTTTTGTCTCATTATAAATCTGAGTCATGTTGTGATGAGCATCGTACTTCAAATTGAGCAAACTTCTGATATCTTTCGCCTGAGTATGTGTTGCCTCCAACTCCTTAATATTCATTTTTTCCACCTGCGAAAGAGCATTCTTTTGCCTGCTTCCCTCAGAGTAAACCTCCAATCTGTGACTGTGAAATCCCCTCGACTTAATCCCATGAATTCTCCACTTACACTTGCCATCTATTTTTAAGGATTGCACCACCACTCGGAAACGACAACCTAACTTGCCTATTGTAGATTTGCTCCGCGTTGTCTTTGCAGGATCAGACGTATATGAGTTGCTCCTACTACCATGGTTTCAATCCATATAGATCCGCGGATTGCCTTCTCCAACATTTCTCTTGACTGATGCCACTATCAAGGAAAAACTATTACTCATGGCAATCTCCTTTGTCGCTTTACAAGCTTGATCATGGGTATCATAAACATCACTTAGAAACAATGATTTGCAATCAACATTGTCACCCTCATTAACAACGGATCCACCCCACAAGAAATACAAGGTAAAAACATTTAGTTGTGCAACAATTATGTTATGATAATTAAATTATAAAAAATAACTACTTACCGAATCATCCATAATAGTTTCCTTGTTAGTAAATGATGGTGGCACAAGATTTTTATCCTCCTTCCTAATAAACACAATAAAAACGTAACTTAATGAACATAAATATTATAATTTATGTGAATTTTCATTAAAAAGGTCCATGACATCACAAAATTAACTCGAGCATGTTCAAAACTAGACCCGGCCAAGGGACAGGCATGTTAAAAACAAGAATGAACTGTGGGTCAAGCATGTTGAAAACATGCCTAGACAGGAGGACGAGCATGTTGCGAGCATTGCTGGAGGATGGAACGGGCAGGTGGACAACGCGTCCGTTCCATGGCTGATGCAGGGTTTCAACATGCTTGACCACCGGTCGAGGCAGATTTTCAACATGCTCGACTTGTTTTCCAGAAGAAAAAAAAATTGCAAACGAAATCTTACCTTTAGTCCGAGTCCCTGCATGCTATGACGATCGAGACCGACTACTTCTCTACCTCCGGCAAACTCGCCGGAATCCGGCGAAAATTTATCAATGTAGAAGATTGTAGTTGGATTTTGTGTTGTGTGGTTTGGTTTTAATTTTTGGTTTGATATTTCTGTTTTGTGTTGGAAGAAAGAGTTAAATAGGTTGGGTTAGATGGTTGGAGCATTAATTCTAGGTGGTTGAACCATAAAATAAATGAAGGGTTGTTTTATAAATTTGTATGATTTAGGGTGACAAAATTTAAAAATTTAGGGTGACAAATAGTAACACTCAAAACCTCTAGCCCCGCAATCCGCTAGTCCACTCCATCTCTTCCCTTTCACAGCTGCGATACGCGAGATTGGAGAGAAGGCCCAGATTCCTTCTGTCCTAGGTAGTCGCCGTCGACCAGCTTCACGAGATCAGAGAGATGATGCAGGCCGCAGCAGATCTTCGTCTTGACGGTCGCAACGCGAGAACGAGATGAGACATGGCAGTGATTATAGGTCCAGAGAGAACTAGAACCAGAGACCGAGGAACGAAGACAGATCCATCAGCGGTCGTGACGGATCGACCATGAGGTTGGGCGATGCATCGGCGGAGGCGGCGCAATCCTTTGATTGCGGCGGCGTGTGACGATCAGGGGAGTCGCGGCTTGTTATGGTGGCGATGACTGGCGATGCGAGGTGGGGGCAAGCAGCGGTTGTCTAGTGGCGACCAAGAGGGTGCCAGTCGTGTAATCGTTTATGGTGAGGAAGAAAGGAAAAGAAAAGGGGAAATTGTGTTTTCCTTATCAATTTCTATGGGGGAGATGGGAGAAGGTGGCGGAAGGGAGCTCGTGAGAATGGAGATGGAGAGAGTGAATTCGAAGAAGGAGAGAGAATGATGGAATGGAAGAATTGAGAGAGTCGGTGAGGGAGGGGTCAGGTAGATAGTGATAAGGCTGACCGGGTCTTCTGCAGGAGGTTAGCTGAAGCTGTTAGCATTTCTCGTTACACCAGTAGCTGATTCCCCACTTCCATCTGTTACCCGAAATCTCTCCAACCATATTACACGTTCTGCCCATGTACTCAAATCCATTGTATAAATTCTACTGATGAATAATAGAACACAAGCAAGATTTTATACCATTCTTCATGGTATCAGAGCCTCCCATAGCTTTACAGCATCTTTGATCCTTCTTTCTCTTTCTCGTACCTCCTGTCTCCTTGACCCTTTCTTCTTTTTTCTTCCTTTATTATCTATCCAGCCTTCATCAACGATGTCTGGTGTAACATCATCTGATGCCACCAGCGCCTTCCCATTCCCTTCTCTTCCTCACCCAAATCTCCCACCCATTGCTGTCAAACTCAACCCCAAGAATTTTCTCCTCTGAAAACTTCAGCTTCTCCCTCTCCTCACGAGCTTCGACTTTGTCAAACATATCGACGGCTCTTTCCCCGCTCCTGCTTGCCAGATTGATGGCAACCCCAATCCTGAGTATGTTGCTTGGTACAAACGGGATCAATTCGTTCTCTCTTGGATCGTGGCATCCCTCTCTGAAGCTGTCCTCCCCAAGCTTATCGGCTGCACCACTGCTTTCGATGCCTGGATGCGTCTCACCGCTGCATATGGCTCTGAAAATCGCCACAGCATCCGCCAACTGAAGGACCAATTTCAGACTCTCAAGTGCGGCAATGAATCCATTGAGAAATACCTTAAACGAGCCAAAGAGGCTGTTGATCGCCTTGCCGCTATCAATCTTCTTGTCTCAGACGATGATCTGGTCGACCACTGCCTCAAGGGACTCGGCGAAAATTTCCTCTCGTTCGTCCGAGCTATTGAAGCCAAATCTGATCCCATCTCCTTTGACGACTTCCATGGGCTTCTTCTTCGCGAGGAGCAGCGCCTCCAGCAACACCATCATCTCCACGATGGTGCTCCCTCTGCTCACTATGGACGCGGCGGTCGCAGTTTTAGCGGGCAGGGTTTCGGTTGTTTCGGTGGTCGTGGCCGCGGCGGCCGAGGGTGTACTCCTTCTCCTCTTTTTGACGGCTCACATTCATCTGTGTATGGAACAGGTATTGGCTCCGGTCTTCTTGGGCCCAGGCCCAACGTGCACCCTCCTCCGTCCTCTGCTACTCTCCAGTGTTACACCTGCCGCGGGTTTGGCCATACAGCCAAACAATGCCTATCACCAGCCCACACCAATCGCGCCTACTCGCCCGCTCACCACTTTCCAGCAGCTCATCGCACCTACTCCCCTAACCCACAGGATTGGCTACTCGACTCGGGCGCCAATTACCATCTCACCTCCGACCTAAACAACCTTGCCCTTCACTTTGAATACCACGGTCCCGATGAAGTCTCTTTTGGCAATGGTAACTCTCTCCCTATTACGCACTCTGGTTCCTCTTGTGCTTCTCTTCGTCACAATACTTATCTAAAATTCTCCATGTCCCTTCTCCCTCACGTAATCTTCTCTGTATCAATGCCGTTACACGTACTAATCCCTTGTCTATTCACTTTGTTGGTAATTCTTTTGTCATCAAGGACACGCGCTCCCAGCAAGTTCTACATCACGGCCAGAGTCATGAAGGGCTTTACAACATTCCCTTATCCATCATTCCTCCTGCTGCTCCTCATGCGTTCCACACAACTCTCTCTCTCATTGGCACCAACGCCTCGGTCATTCTCACTCACGTGTGCTTCATCAAATTCTCCATGATCATTCGCTTTCTATCTCCACTAATCGTGATCATAGCCTTTTTCATGGTTATAGTGTGGCTAAAATTCACAAACTTCTCTTTCCTGACTCTACCTTTCATGCTCAAGGTCCCTTGGATTTAATTTGTAGTGATGTCTGGGATCCTGCACCCGAACTCTCGTATGATGGTCATCTTTACTACATTTTATTCTATGATCATTTTAGCAAATTCACATGGATACTCCCCACTCGTTATCGATCAAATCTCCTTGACATCTTCATTCGTTTTCGTACCCATGTTGAAAAGTTTTTCAATCGTCCGATCAAAATTTTCCAAGCGGATTGGGGTGGGGAGTATCAAAAGTTAAGATCCTACCTTCAAACACATGGCATTCAACATCGTTCCTCTTATCCATATACCCCCGAACAGAATGGTTGTGCGGAATGCAAACACAGGCATATCGTTGAAACTGGCCTCGCCCTTCTTCACCATGCTTCTGTCCCTATCAAATTTTGGCCCTATGCTTGTGACACTGCTATGTATCTCATCAATCGCTTACCGACCCTACTACTCAACTCACGCACACCACTTGAGGTCCTTCATCACCAGCCACCAAATTATTCTAGTCTCCGCATTTTTGGCACTCTGTGTTATCCTTGGTTACGCCCACTCACTCGTCATAAACTTCAACCCCGCTCATCACCATGTGTCTTTCTCGGCTACAGCCCTATGCACAAGGGTTACCGTTGTTACAACCTATCTACCCACAAAATACATATCTCCCGTCATGTTCTATTTGACGAGACCTGTTTCCCCTTTCAAGATTCTCGATTTACCACTGTAATTGCCCCTCCTAACCCACTGCCCACATTCTCCACCTCCCATCAATTAAGCCCCCTTCCATTCCCTCCTCCCTTCCTTACCCCGCCACCAATTCCCATTCCCTGTGGCCCAGACATTGCTCCACCCTCTGCTAGCCCACAATCACCTCCAAAACCCAAATCCCCCACCACTGCCCCAACCCAGCCCACCATCACAAAACCCCCCCACTTCTACCCAACTTCCCCCGTCCCAAAACGATTTCCCACCACCACCCACTTTACCTCGCTCAAATAGAACTCGGCGCCCCGTTCCACCAGCCTCTCTTCCCCGATTCAACACCTCCCCTCGCCCTCTTCCAGCCTCTGCCATCCCGCCCCTTCCTCGCCGCCCGATCACTCGCACACAAACCGGCCATCTCAAACCAAAATCCCACCTTTCCTCGACTTCAAAATCTTTACCTTCCCTTCCCACTACTACTAAACAGGAACTCTCACACCCACTCTGGCGCGCAGCAATGTCGGAGGAGCACACTGCTCTACTCA